TGATCCCAACACCCACTTAACTCAGAGGTTCTCTAGCCACCAATGTCAGGGAGTCTCCTGGGATGATATTACCAACAGGACTCATAGACATATTACCAAGGATTCTGATATACATTTGGGGTGGTGCCTGCTAATCTGCTAATTTTATAAAAAGACCCTCAAGTTTCTTTCCCTTTCAATCCATTCTATAGAGTTGCCAGAGTAATATGGTGCCTAGAACACCATATGTCTTTGTGGTAGTTATGTTTGTGTGTCAACTTGGCTGGGCCTGGTTGAGTAGATGGGCAACTGGTGGTAGTTATTCCCCATGATGAGACTGGCAATCAACTCCATTGTGGGATCTACCACAAGCAGCTGAGTAGCCTTTGGGATGTGGTCTGCTTCCTGTATATAAGGAGAAGCTTTGAGAATGGTCTTTAGCCTATGGCATGCTTGGACCTGCATGTAGCCATGTCATTGCTCAGCAGCCTGCTATGCTCTGCTGACCTTGGGATTTACAATAGACTTAAGTTAATGGCCTGCCATGTGGTTTGGTAACATCAGGAACAGTCCTTTTTACTTGTCAACTTGGGGCCTTCTCAGCCTCAGCAGCCAGCAGCTGTCTGAGTGAAGAAATGCCTCTAGTTCCAATGGGTCAGGAGCAGGAGGCAGAGCTGGATCCCAAGGTTCAGGGGCTTTCACCCAGCCCCTAGAGCCTGGCACTTTGAACTTGGACTTAAAGCCTCCAAATTGTAAGAAAAAACTCCTGTTTGTTAAGACCATCCCATTTGTGGTATATTCTTCTCAGAGTGGCACTAGGTAACTAGAACAGCCTTCATTCAGTAGATATTTACTGATGAATGCAAATTATAAAGACTTCCTTGTTCAAACTCATTACCAGCACTTCAATATCCACAATATGAAATCCATATTTTGGCATAGTGGCCTCCAGCTAGCTCTCAGTCCAGCCTCATCTCCTGCCACTTCTCCCTTACCCTTAGTTCTTCATTGAACCAAAACACCAAACCCACTGTTGTCAAGTTGATTCTGACTCATTGTGAGCCCACATGTTATAGAATAGAAATCATCTACAAGGCTTTCTAGGTTATAATCTTTTGGAAGCAAATCACCAGGTCTTTTTTCTGTAGCACCTGGGTGGGTTCGAATCACCAAGCTTCTGATTAATAGCCAAACTGAAAACGATTTGTTCCACCTAGGAACTTCCCCAGTGCTCATTGGCACCCATTATATCATAGTCTTCCATGCCTCTAGGCATTCCAAGTGGCTATCTTCCTTATCCACAGTGACTCTCCACTTACTCTTAGTAATGCACACTAGACACAAGTATGCACATTCCCAGTCCTTCTTCAGGAATTCATCTCTCTGTAGCTTGATCTGACCCCTCCCCACTCTGACTGTCCCTCCTCTTCTCTAGGTATATTTTAGCATAATTACTTCTAAGTATCCTTGACATCTCCTAAGTATGTGTATTAGAACACTTCTCACACTAAGCTGTCATTGTTTCATAGTCATGCCTCTTCTCATACTGAAAAATTCTGAAAGGTAGGGTCCACATCTTTTCATCTCTGTATCGGGGCTCCTAGACACAGTACCTACACATACAAAATTGGACAACATTCTCTTGTGATCCATAGAAGGAATACAACCAGAATGTTCCTTAGGAGTGAGAATAGCAAGACTTCAACTTACTTAATTTTGACATGTCATCAGGAAAGAATAATCACTGGAAAAGAACATCATATTTGGTAGAGGGTCAGCAAAAATTAGGGGTTTTCCTCATTGAGATGGATTGACATAATAGCTTCAACAATAGGCTCTAAGATATCAAAGATCATAAGACGGCCACCAGGCAATGTTTGGTTCTATTATACATAACACCATCATGAGTTGGAGCTGACCTGATGGCAACTTACAACAACATGTACAAAGATTTGTACTAGGCTCTGTGCCTAAAGGACATTTACCAACAAAGAAAGCACATTTTACTCACACTAAAAGGAAATGTGGCCATCCAAGGTAATGAAGAAATGAGAGGTTGTTCAAAAGCCTCTCCCCTCGAAAGTAACTACTTGTGATCTTTAAATTGAAGCCATTACTTTAACATCACAGAATCTGGGGTTACAAGTCTTGGGTTCTAATGCCAGTATCACTACCTACATGCTGGGTGAGTTATTTATCCCCTCTGAGTCTTAGTTTCCTTATGAAAAAAGGACTAATGATAGACTTCACAGTGTTATTGTGAGGATCCAATGAAGTAATTAGGAGCTCTGGTAGCGTAGCGTGTAAGGCACTTGACTGCTAACCAGAAGCTGGTGGTTCAAACCCACCAGCCACTCCTCAGAAGGAAGGTTGGGCAATCTATTTCCGTAGTGATACTATCTCGGAAACCCAAGGAGGGGTTGCTATGAATTGGGTCTGACTCGACGGCACATACCAACAACAACAACAACGACAATGAAGTAATTGTATTAAGTGATTAATTAATCCAGAAAACACCCAATAAATGGAATTTGTAGTTGCTACCTTCAGTGCTGAGAAAGTTTAGCCTGCCTTCCAATGTTTACTATGTCTACTGTTGAATAATACAAAGCAAAACTTAGCTCTATGCATTCATGTACAGATTTAAAGGTCACTACTAGACTCTGGGGGAGCTCTGGTAGCATAGTGCCTAAGGCACTTGACTGCTAACCAGAAGGCTGGCAGTTCAAACCCACCAGCCACTCCTTGGAAGGAAGGTTGGGCAATCCTACTTCCGTAGTGATACTGCCTCGGAAACCCAAGGAGGGGTTGCTATGAGTCGGGGCCGACTCGGCGGCAAATAACAACAACAACAACAACTAGACTCTGGTAGTGTTTCGTTCTGCTGTGCATGAGGTTGCTATGAGTCAGAAACGACTCTATGGCACCTAACAACAACAACAACAACTAGACTCTGGTAGTGTTTCGTTCTGCTGTGCATGAGGTTGCTATGAGTCAGAAACGACTCTATGGCACCTAACAACAACAACAACAACTAGACTCTGGTAGTGTTTCGTTCTGCTGTGCATGAGGTTGCTATGAGTCAGAAACGACTCTATGGCACCTAACAACAACAACAACAACTAGACTCTGGTGTGGCTGTCCCTATATGATAATAAGGGAATGTTCTTGAAGAATGTGGGCATTTCTGGTGTCACATAGGAAAGAATGTTTGTCTTCTAGGAGAGTACTTGGGGCACTGCATAGAACTCCAGGGGACATCATTCACAGCTGAACTTCTCTATATTCTTGGCCTCCACTTCAGAGTCTGGTGCTTCCAGGAGTCTGAAATCTTTGAGAGCACTCCTGGATGGTACAGGAAAGCAGAAGATGAGTAAGCCACATCTGTGTGTTGGACAAATGGGTTTTCTGTTCTCTTCATATTAATTTCCTTTTAGTTATGCCTGAACTACTGTTACATAGTCTAGCATTGTCTCACAATTGATGCTGTCAACCATTTCATTCCATTGGGAAAAACAATCAACATCCATAGAAGCAGCAGTTAAGAAATCAAATGATGTTTTGCATTGGGCAAATCTTTTGCAAAAGACCTCTTTAAAAGCATTATAAATGAAACAATGTCACTTTGATAACTAATGTCTTATCTAACCCATGGGCTTTTCAAGTGCCTCGCATGCATGTGAAAGTTGGATAGTGGAAAAGGAAGACAAAGAAGATGTGTTGATGTGTTCAAACTGTGGTGTTGTCAAAGAATACTGAATATACCATAGACTACCAAAAGAATAAACAAATCAGTCTTAGAAGAAATACAACCAGAATGTTTGTTAGAAACAAGTACCACTGATTCACTTACTTAGGACATATCATCAGGGAAGACCAATTACTAGAAAAGGGCATCATGTTTGGTAAAATAAAGAGACAATAAAATTAAGAAAACCTTCCATGAGATGGATTACCACAACAGCCTCAACAAGGCACTCAAATATACCAATAATCATGAAGATGGCCCTGTGCAGCCCCTACTGGTAGGAGCCAACTCCACATTAACTAACCACACAGCAAAGTCTCAGGTTTGTTTCAGTTTAAAGTTGGGATTTGTCCTGGTTACCAAATGCTGCTCTGACAAGAATATACCACAAAATGGGATGGCCTTAACAAACAGGAGTTTATTCTTACAATTTGGAGGCTTTAAGTCCAAGTTCAAAGTGCC